AAAAACACTGGACCACTATAGATGAGTGACAAAATTGGGGCAATATCTAGGAACAGGACACAAATCACAAGGGCAACAGAGACTGAGGTCAGACTTGGATCTCACTTGGTCTGATCACAAAGTTAGTGATCTTAATAAGGCTTTGATCAGAGACAGAAGGTACTTTATAATACTGTCATTAAGTATGAACCATTACAAAATAATGTAACTTCTTCCCTATCAGAGCTGCAAGGGGAACAGAGAAATTCTATCACTTCAATCTTACAGTTTCCCAATAAGACTAAATACATACAAGCTACTTAACCTATGTCAAAAGAGAAATATTAATCCTGAACATACAAATACAAACCTATCTGGAGTTAAGCATCAGAAGGAAAGAGCAATCTTGCAGGAGGGACTGCACTAGGAAACTGAAAACAACAGATGGGGATGTCATGCTTTCCCAAGCATTGCAGTTATCCTGAATACACAGCCTCATGAGAGACAAAACACAGGAAGCTGCCCTGGTCTTCTAGATAGCTTTGCAATTTTGATGATGATTCAAGACTTAAAACAGCAAACCCCTGGATTAAGGGAATTTAAATTCACAATTTGTCCTGTATCAATTTTTTTTTTGTAAAGAAAGACAAAAATTAAAGGGGAAGGTTTATCTATACAACTAGTATTATTTTTAGCATCTATTTTAAAAGCTACATAACTTTCATGGCAAAAGAAATATATCTTCCAAAGCAGAAGAGTTGCAGCTTTAAAGTTTTAATCATAATAAGCTGGCAGAATCACTCCGGTACAAAAAAAATATTCTAAATACTATCTTTCAAGTCAGAAAGAGCACTTATAACTATCAGACATACGTTTTCACTCAAGATGGTCTAATGCAGCATCTGGCTCTCATCTGCTGCTGCTACAGCCACCCCTTCCCAAGCATGTCACTCACTCTCCCTGATTTTATTCCCCCACTTGTAGTTTATTCTTCTTCCTTACCACACAGGAGTAGGTAAGACACAGGTATGAAGTCTGTAAGGCATTTAGATTTTAAATCTAAATACTACACCTAAGCAGATACCTAAACCAAATACAGAAAATACACAGAGCATACATTAAAATAGCACAAAAATAACACAGGGACCAAAAAAATTATCACCTCTATCCTGCAAAGGTCTGAAGGTAAAATCATGACTACAAGAAGCCTATGCTGCTACTTCAGAGAACTGGAAAAACCTGCAGGTCCAAAGTTGCTGCATGTTAAAGCTTTTGAAATGTAGCAAAGGACAACTGAGTTGGCAAACTAAGTTTTGCTCACAATTGCATCAGCAAGCAGAAGGGATCCCTGCCTCCATAAAAAATACAATTTTTATGTCTAAACCTTAATTTTGTTATCCTTTTAAATACTGAGAGTTCAAGCCTAGACTTACTACAAAATATAATATGCTACTTATCTATTCTATTCTGTATTGGACATCAGTAATTCAAGTAGTCATTGCAAGAACACAAAGATGTATATCACATTACTACCTTTCTTTATCACCTGCTATAGCACTCTCTGTATCTATGTTTTGGTACTACTGCCTTTCCACTGGGCCTATATATGTCTTTTTTTTTTTTTTTAAATAGCATAGTACTTTACCCTACCTTTATTCACTCATACTGTTTCAGCTTGAGTCCATTTGCTTGAACTTCTGCATGCTGCACCACGTTTAAGATTGGTCACCCCTGTCAGTTCTGCATTATTGCAAAACTCACAGCTGAACTTCACAAACACCAGTCCAGCAGCAAAAACATCAACAAGGGCCCTGCATTTCCTCTCATTCAACATTCCTCTGTTGTCCACGGGTATTAACAGTGAGTTTTCCGTGTCCTTGTTTTATGTGCTGTTTTACTTGCTCCTGGAACAGCATTTCCCAACATTTTTCTAGCTGAACTCTGCTGCTGTAGCCTTCCCTCTTATTTCCGTACCTTCCCATCCCTATCCTCTGCTATTTTTTTTTCCCTTTTCTTGCACTCCTTCTCCCATAGCAGCACCAGTTCTATATGGTCACCCTGTAACCTGGTGGGGCAAAGAGATATGAGGCTACAAGCCTAGATAAATCTGTCATTTCAGCCCCCAAAAGCACTCCTGAGTACCCCCCACCCTGGGGGCACAGCCAGGAGCAAGCGACAGGAGTTAACATGCCAGTGCTCCTATGCAGTAAGAGCCAGTACCTGGCTGCACCTTATTTGTAACATCTTGCACCCACTAGCAGGAAATTGCTGCTGTGTGGGGAGGTCTTTGGCACCCATAGCCTGCAGAGACAAGCTGGCTCGCACTTTTGGACTCCCTCTCAAAAGGACAATGTGTAAAGTGTTACTGGCAGACTTGCTGCACTGCAGTTCCAGTCAAGTTAAGGGCTATCTTTTTTTCTTATTATCTGCACAACTCAAACATGCAGCTCTAATTAGGAAAGCTTTAACTTCTCATTTTCTCTAGTACAACCTTAAGCTTCTGATTAGTTACATGGACAAGTCAAATACGATGTTCCAGGTGCAATCATTCACACTTAGTTTTCTTCAACCAGCTAAGCACAGGACAGGGAAAATAAAAACTGACAAAATGCTATTCTATCATGTCGTATTTTACGTTACCTGCTGTCTTCTGTCAGGAAGGCAGAACAATTGTATTCCAAATATCACCCTAAGAAAAAAGTCATGTCTACACTGCAGAGGGACCAGAGAAAAGTGTAAGCTCAGCCAGCTAACATCTGCAGAGACTGGCTGAGCTACAGCCAAGCCATTTTCAGACTGACACCACTGTGGGAGCCAATCTAGTCTCTTCTACAGGAGAGATCCCCCGTTACAGACATATGGGAAATGTCTGCACAATAAAGCTTCATTGCTCCACGAGCAAGTTTTCCTGAAAAAACGCAACACATGGGTTTAAACTGCACTGACTATGAGACACTGCTAGCTTCTGTTCTGTTGGGAGATGCACAGCAATCTACCCATCAAGAAAAGTAAATTCATATTAGATATGAAAAAGATTCACCAAAGCTGAGTTACCATTGCCCAGGATACACACATACTGCTGAAGACTATAAATTCTTCTTTGCTAACACAAGGGGAGCTGCCCAGAAAAGACACATAAGTACTTGGGCACAGCAGACATGCATCTGCTGAGGAATTAAGCATTCATCTTCTTGCAACCTACTTCCGATAGTTAAATTACATTTGTGTATTTTTGTCTACTACCAAACAAGCAATTTCAAACTGAAATACACACCCTTGTCTGTAATTACACCACCTAAAATGAAAATTAAAAGGAAGCAGAAACATACACAAAAATACTCAGTAGGTATTCCATGTTGCAACAAATATTTTGGCCTTTAGGCAGACCTTATATTTGCCCTTTTATAAACCTACAACTGCACTTAGCTTCTGGGTCGCACCTTCTAAATCTCAATGAGCATTCAGTCAGACACATCTTCCTACCACCAGCAGCTCCCGCTGGTATGACAAACACTATTGCATCAGTGAGACAGCACCAAGAGCTACGCTGACAGAGTCATAGTGTTTGAAGGACCAGCTCTTTATTGCACAGGGGGGCTGCATCTTTAACTACATATAAATGGCATGGCTCCTCTTATGATGACTCTTATCACCAAAATGCCTGTAACACTGCTCAAAAGACTTATTTGTTGCTTTCATTAAGCAAAGAAAAACATGGTACTCACTAATGCCTTGCTATCTACACCACCAGACACCCAATGCAGTCACTCATTGCAACCCGCCAGTCAGTGATTCCACTGTATCAGAACAATCATCCGAATTTGGGTTCCTTCCTTACAGATCTGACATTGCACACCTTTGCCCTGTCAAGAATCCGGCAAAAAATCACTCTTTTGCACACTGAAAAACACAGTTTATCTTTTCTAAATTAGGATCAAAGGAAAGAAACCTAAACAAGTTTTGTGTCCATCCTGTGTCCCTCAATGGCACACAGGCAGCGGGAGAGCCTGCCAAGGACCAGATTGCTGCCTCCTCCTCCCCAAGGCCTGTTTTCCTGAAGACTGTTTTCTAATGAGCCATCATGAACTCTTGCTTCTTAAAAATTACTTTACAGAACTACTCCAGTAATACTTACAAGCTGCTGTTCTAAACAAGTCCAGATCGCTTCCTATTGCCATGTAACTCAACATCCACTTCAACTAAACCCTCAACAATGCAGCGCCATGGTTTCAACACAGATTACTCCCGATGCCGAGGTCACACCCGGCCGATGGTCCCATCGGACAGGTGCAGTCACACGCCGGGTGACCGCGGCCACCTCCAAAGCGAGAGGGTGAGCTCCACTCGCTGTCCAGCTACTCGCTGGACACGTCCCATCGCTGCAACGCACGCACAGATTACAGGACCCCGTTCCATCACTGCAATCCATTAACAAGTCACAGGACACCGACGAAAACAGTGGAGACTTCGAGTTTAAATTTCCTACCGAGGGGACTCAACGCTGCTCCGAAAGGCCGCGGAGCAGACCTAAGCCACGTATTTAGCCCGGTATTATTTAACGTGTTTAGCCTCGCAGTATTTAAAGCCTAGTGCTGGACGGCGGCGAGGGGAGAGCGGGAGCCCACCTCCCGTTTCCCGACCGATGCCAGAAGCCCTGGAGACGCCGCCGCTGGACACGACCCGCCGCCAGCCCTTGCCGGGGGCCCCGCGGAGGGATGCGGGCACCGCTCGGCCCCCGGGTGGCGGGGCCATCCTGCGGTTCCCGCACGGCCGGGGGGCTGCGCGGACAGCGGGGACAGCGGCAGGGCCAGGGGGCAGCTGGTGGCGCGGCGCAGGCGGCGGCGGGATGGCCGCGCCGCTCCGCTCCGGCGGCCCGCTCCCGTCCCCGGCTCTCGCTCCCGTCCCCAGCTCTCGCTCCCGTCCCCGGCTCTCGCTCCCGCCTCCCACTCCCGCCCCACTCCGCCAGCGCACACACCTGCCCGGCGTCCCCCCGCCCCGCGCTGTCAGTCGCACCCACCTACCCCACTGGCCGCCGCCGCCGCCGCCGCCGCGGGTCCGGCGCGCCCCGCCGCCGCCCCCGCGCCGGCAGCGGCACGGCACGGAACGGCACCCCCCCCTTCCGCCGCCCGCCCGCCCGCCCCTTACGCGGGATCGGCGAGGAAGGAGGTGGAGCGGCCGCGGGGAGGAACCAGGAAGTGAACGGCGGCGGCGGGAGGCAGAGCACACCCTGCCCTGCCCTGGCCGACCCATGGGCGGGCACCGGCACCGGGTGCCGCCGGGGCGCGCCTGTGCCGTGGGCGCGTCTCGGGCGTGCGGGTTTTGTGAGGGAAAAAGCCCTACCACTTTTTTGTTTTTACATGGGAGCAGATGGTTCTGCCTCACTGCGCACCGCTGAGCCCCCAGCCAGGTTCAGGGTGGTTTTGGTTTGCAGGTATCCAAAATCCTTCGGCACCCAAGAAGGAGTGGGTGCAGTGGAAGGCAGTGAGGATGACTGGGGGACTGGAGCATCTCTCTGAGGAAAGGCTGGGGGAATTGAGCCTGTTCGGCCCCGAGAAGAATCACAGAATCATAGAATCAGCCAGGTTGGAAAGGACCTCTGAGATCATCAAGTCCAACCCTTGATCCTCTACCACCACGGTTACTAGACCATGGCACTGAGTGCCACATCCAGTCTCATCTTAAAAACCTCCAGGGACTGAGAATCCACCACTTCCCTGGGTAGCCCATTCCAGTGCCTGATTACCCTGTCTGTAAAGAATTTCTTCCTAATATCTAACCTAAACCTCCCCTGGCAGAGCTTAAGACCATGCCCTCTTGTCTTACTGATAGCTGCCTGGGAGAAGAAACCAACCCCTACCTGGCTACAACCTCCTTTCAGGTAGTTGGAGAGAGTGATGTCTCCCCCTGAGCCTCCTCTTTTCCAGACTAAACAACCCCAGCCCCCTCAGCCTCTCCTCATGGGACTTGTGCTCAAGCCCCTTCACCAGCCTCGTTGCTCTTCTCTGGACCTGCTCCAGCACCTCAATATCCTTCCTGAACTGAGGGGCCCAGAACTGGACACAGTACTCGACGTGTGGCCCCACCACGGCTGAGTACAGGGGCAGAATCACTTCCCTGGACCTGTTGGCCACACTGTTCCTGATACAGTGGCCACCTGGGCACACTGCTGGCTGAGACGACCGAGAGGGGACCTCATTAATTTGTGTAAATACCTAAAGGAAGGGTGCCAAGAAGATGGAGCCAGGCTCTCCTTGGTAGTACCAAGCAATACGATGAGAGGGAATGGGCAGAAACTGATGCACAGGAAGTTCCCCTGGAATATGAGGAAAAACTTCTTTACTGTGGGAGTGACTGTGCAGTGGAACAGGTTGTCAGAGAGGTTGTTGATCTCCCTCACTGGAGATACTCAAGAACCATCCTGTGCCATGTGTTCTGGGATGACCTTGCTTAAGCAGGAAGGTTGAACCAGATGACCCACAGTGGTCCCTTCCAACCTTACTCCTTCTATGATTCTGTGACAGAGCATACTGCTACAGGTGTCATGTTTGGAGCATGAGCAGGGGTTGAGTTTGCTTGACACTCTCCACGTTCAGCAGCTGCTTTCAGTATTTGTGGCCTCACCAGGCATTAATCACACAGTGTGAATCTTCACGTTCCAGGGAGTTCCCTCAGGCTGGCTTTATTTTAGCCAACTCGTCATCCATTTACTATAATGAGGTTAGAGGAAAAGACATTGCTTTGCCTTTGTTAAAAAAAAAATAAAACAACAAAACAAAACCAAGAAACAAGTGGCATTCTTTCTTGTCTGGTAGCCTTCACTACAGCCTTGCACTGGAATTTGAATGCTCTCAGAAATAAATGCTCTTTAGAGCAAGAGGATGCCTTCTGCCCTCCCTAAATTTATCAGTACGCTATACCTTCCCGAGTACTTGGGCATTTCCACAGCTTCCTTCAGGAGCTTTTGGCAGAGGGCAGCAGGTAGGAGCTGCCTGTTTGGTTTAACATGAGGGTTTGCTTTCTTGGAGGGGACGAGGAGCAATGGCCATAAACTAAAACACAAGTTTCACATCAACATGAGGAAGAACTTCTTTCCATTGACGGTGGCAGAGCACTGGAACAGGCTGCCCAGGGAGGTCGTGGAGACATTCCAAACCCACCTGGACGCGTTCCCGTGTCACCTGCTCGAGGCGACCCTGCCTTGGCAGGGGGGTTGGACTGGATGGTCTCCAGAGGTCCCTTCCAACCCAATGTGAGGTGCCAGTACCGGTGCCGGTACCGGTGCCGGTGCCGGTGCCGGCTGGGTGGGCGGGCGGGACAGCAGCTGTGGATAGCCGGCAGCTTTCCTGGCGCGGGCGGAAGGAAAGGAAGCAGGGAGGCAAGAAAGGCACTGCGCAGCTGCGGTCTGGAGGCGGCGGCAGGAATGGCGACCGTGGTGCTGAGCGAGGCGGAGAAGCTCTACATCGTGCACGGCGTGCAGGTACCGGGGCGGGAGGGGGCGAGTTACAGGGTAGGCTGGGGAGGAGGGAGGCAGGGAGCCCTCCATCGTGGTGTTTGGACGCGAATCTCTGGGGTAGTAATCATCCGAGCACGCTGAGCATCAGAACGGGAAGCTGGCTGAGAGCAGAACGTGGATTTGTTTTCTTTCACTTCTGTCCCCCTTTACCTCTCTTTCCTTGCTCTTTCCACCTCTTCCCTGGCTCTTTCTCAAGTTTTTGCGGTTTCATAGAGTTTTAGCCTGCCACGTAGCAAAGGAACGTGAGTGGTCCAAGGAGGAAGAGTGAAGGATGTGGGGGGAGAAACGCCGGTGATAACAAGGACTGTATTTTTACCGAATTTTGCTGAAAAACAACGTATTTCTGTGGAGGCGAGTGTATAGTATCAGAGGAAGAACAATACCCGGTTTTGGAATACAGATGAAAACATTTGGAAGGCCAGTGGGTATTTTTTTATGCCTGGTCCTAATTACTGCTATAAAAGTACAGAACTTGCGCATCCCAGGAAAGGCCTGATGTAGTCTTAAGTAAAAGTCTGTGATGAAACTATGAGCTGATGCTTTTATATTGTTTTTACTGCTGTGTTTGGTATAGGAGAAGGAAAATTTCAAGTCACATATATATATATATTATTTTTTTTAACTTTTCATTACTGATTCTCTTAAGCACAATATATTGATATTGATGATAGGAGGATCTTCGTGTGGATGGTCGTGGCTGTGAAGACTACAGATGTGCAGAAGTAGAAACAGATGTTGTATCAAACACAAGCGGATCTGCAAGAGTAAAGCTGGTAGGTAAATTTCTTAGGGACTGTGTGCCTCGCTAATGAAGTTTCTAGTTATGTGACTGGTTTTAAGATAAGCTGAGGTTATTTGTGTGTGTGCATAGCAGTAACTGAAACTATGGTTAAGGAAATAATTACAGCATATATAATGCTTTTTGACTGGCTTAACTATTATCACGATGATGAAAAAAAATCAAGCAGGGTTGGATTTACCATGAAGTACCTGGACAGCCTTTAGTTTGAGTTGATCTAACATTTAATCTCGAAAACTGCAATCATTATTGTGCCTAATCCCTGGGAAAAAATAATTCTACTACTTCAGAGTGAAGTGAAATTACTTTTGGCATGTGCAGTATTATAGTGGTTCTGCAGTAAGAGATGTTTCCAGAACCAAAATGATAGAAGTAGTCTTGGATATTAAGAGTGTCTTTTTAACCTAGAGAAAGTTAATATGTATGGTAATTATTTGAAGAATCTTCTTAAGCTTAATATTGTCCTTCTAAAGCCTTTCCTTCTTTAAAAAATTTATTGTTATTTTAAGTTCACTCTGATAGAACAATCAGATAACTGAAAGGTAGAAATGTCAGCTTACTGTAGACATTTAAATTAAACAAGTAGTTCTGTAACTATAATTTCAGTTCTGTGATGCGTTTTTATTTTAACAGGGAGACACTGATGTCTTGGTAGGCATAAAAGCTGAAATGGGGACACCAAAGTTAGAGAAACCCGATGAAGGATACCTGGAATTCTTTGTTGACTGGTTAGTATATCAGAAAAGAATGAAATAGATCTAATATTTGGAATAAATGACTAATCAGATCTTGCCATTCTTCAGAAGTTTATACCTTCATTCCACTAACCTCCGGTAAGAGTCTGAGTAGGAGAAAAAAGTTATTTTACTGTTCCTATAGCAGTGAATGTTCAGAAACTTTATGCTGATTTTGCCAACCCAAAATAAGCAAATCAATGGGATTTAAAGAATGAAAGCAACCCCAAACTGCATAGCATCACTGCAGCTGGGACAGAGTAATGGTTCAATGACACATGCATTTAACGTGACTTCATGACTACAATGTCAGCTGTTGTTTTTACAATGACAGAATAGAGAAAATCTCTTTCAAAAGAAGTAAGTATTCCAGAAGAAAAGAATTGACTGTTCTTTAACTGTACTTAAAGGTTTGCTTGCTTTGTCTGATAAAGCAGTGGAAAAAGTTTGAAGTGTGTTTTGTTCAAATTCATTTGTTTAAAAAAAGGAAAATCTCCAGTATGAACTTCAGATGCAAAAACTAATTAGAAAATTTAGTTATGCATTTATCAGAGAATCTGTGCTTCATTAACTAAAATGGTATTTGTTTTAATCATATTCCTTGCTTTTTGCTACAAGTGCACTATTGTTTATCCTTACAGTTCTTCATACTGCTTGAATTATGAAGGAAGCTGGAAGAAAACTGAGAACTCTTACTTTCGAGTTGCTCTGAGATAGCATAGTGACATCTCACTGTTATTCTAGACTGTGGTCTGCGACTACAATATCCATGTCGTGCAGACTTCCTAAAACTGTTCTTTATGAAGTAATATGTTTTGGGAACCTCTCATTAGGGCCTTGGCACTGTCAAGTTAGCTGTTTTGCATGTGACCTTTCTTTTTATTTTTATTATAAACAAAAAATGTTGCTACTCTGACATTAAACCAATATACCATTGGCAAAGCTAAGGTATGAGAGCTACTAAGTAAATATGTATCTGGTAATCTTGCTAACCTAACTGGCTGTATCTGCCTTAACATTTGTGTGTCACATTATGCGGCCTTATCTAAGACTGCCTCTGTACCTCATGATGTACTAGTTAACTGTGGAAACCTTGTGCATTGTAGAGGAAAGGACTCACCTAGGAAATTAATAGTTTGTCTACAATTACTGTTCAAAAAATACAAGGTGGGAAGATGATCTTGAATGTGGTCCTGCTATTATAGGGGATCTGAGCTCGACTGTTTTAAGAAACGCATGCTTGAAATATCCTAAATAGTACATGGGGTTTTTTTTTCTGATGGTTTCTATATGAAGAAAGTCCAGTGACAGCAGGGATGTTTCCGTACTTAAACAAGTGGGCTGTGGACATGTGGCAATTCTGTGACACTTCTTGCATATGTAAATAAATGTTAGAAAAACTTCAATTCATTAGATTAACGTTAGGTTGTATTTTCTAACTGTTAATCTCTGCTTCATAAGATGGGAGATGTGCAGCAATATTGTGCAAGATGGATTTTGTCAGTTCTAGAAATAGGGAATTGTTAATTTCTATGACAATATAGACCAAAAGCCTAAACTTTAGAGAAGTATATTAACTTCTCACATGCTTGTGCACAGGCTTTCTCTAGCCTCCAGAAAGATCCAAAAGACAAAATGTGAAGGGGAGGCAGCTTTTTCTCTATAAAGGGAAATGAGCTGCTGTCAGTACTCTGGTGCTTTTGCAGGCTGCCACTGGGTGGTAGTAACTGCACATAGTACCCTGCATCTCCCGGTGAAGTTCTTCTGTGTTCTACTTGGCTTTTATGTTGTTGAAACTAATAATAAAAACTCAGAGTGCAGTGATTACTATCTTAAATTGCTTATTTCCCGAAACTTTCATGGTTTGCTTTCATGATTAAAATAATCACTTGCTGGATTAGATATATATTTCTCTGCTCCAGAATTCTCTTTCTCTTTTTTCTGCTCTGAGTCCTTTACCTAAAATCTGAGAAGCACATTTGGTCACATTTTGAGATAGACTTTAATGTGCATCTCTGGAAGGGATGATATTTTGGGCAATGATTTGTGAGCCTGGAAATTAATTACCATAGATCAAGTCCATATCCTCTGTGATATCCTTACTGCCCATCATCACTGGAGAGGACATTCATCCTGGCCATTGATGTTGAAGACTGCTGTCTGCTTTTCTCACTTTTGAGTTTTGGGGCTGAGTTACCGTTTTAAAACTGTAATAAATAAAAACAAAAAGAAAAGCAGACATCTGAATTCCTTGAATGCATTTGATTCTCTTTGTGGAATTACGAATAAATTTGTTCAAGTGTGTCCATCTGTAGATTACAGTATATTAATGGCCTGAGCAACAGGTGTAAACTGCTTGACTGCTGTGAGAGAAAGGTTTTTCTGCTAACAGCAAGTTTTGAAATTGAGCAGAAGTTTGTGGTAGAAGCATCATTGTGCTTTAGGAGGAATCTTGATTGTTAGGCAATGTAACAGTAAAATGATCTTGATAGTCTTGAAAGTTACATTTTGTTTGGGAGTAAAAATTCTGTGCCACTGGTAAGTTCTTTCTATGCTCCAGAAACCAAGTTTTTTTGCATTTTCTCTTTCCAGTGTGTTAGACAACCCCTTTTCAATTTTTTCCCAGTATATTACTGTAATAATCTGTAGGCATTAGGTGGCAGTATCTACCATATAGTTATTATAATAGTACCCTGCTAACCTTACTTCTTTATTTTGCTTTGATTGCAAGGAACTGAAGTGTTAAAATAATAATGGAATTAAGATGCAGTGAAACATGATATTCCACTTGAGTGTTATGTTCTTGCTACTCACCGTCAAAGAAAGTGTTCACTTACAATCAAAAAATACAACATTTGATAAAACTTTGTATTTAGAAATAATAATGAGGCATAGATTGAAGTTTGTATAATTCTTTTCAGCTTATCATAGGGATCATAATGCTTGCATAACTGTGCATCAAACGGAAAGGTTTAAACAGAATGATCTAGTTAACTTGCATAAAAGCTGCTTCCATGGATAAGGGCTTGTTTAATACTACCTGAAGACCTGACTCAGCACTGAGTTATACTCAGATATGATCTTATTGTATAAAATTGGTGTCTGATATTAATGCAACCATGAATAATATTGTGTGTCATACTTGCACTGCTTATTTGTGTGGCAAATGTAGTTTGGAAGCCTAGGTCAGTGCTTGACTGGCAGTAATGCTTTTCCTTGTTTTTTAAGCATGTATAGTGCTGTCTATTTATAGTGGCAGCAGATAACTTCTATAAAATCCAGTAGCTCTTCCTTGTATTCTGAGTTTTCATAAACTGCAAAACAAGTTGGGAGAATTAGGTAATTCTTATAGGTAAGAGTAATAGTAGGTAATTATATATAAGCTTATAGGTTCTGCAGTATTGTTGGTACAGTTCACTTGATGATTTAAGTCATGCCTTGATAATGTGACTCTTTAGTTGTTTTTTTTTTTTTTAAGGTGAAGGGATTATATTCCAAGACTTAGTTTTCTGCTGTATTTTTATACTCCTGGTATGCCTGTTAGAAGAGTTGAAGTTTTGCATCATCATATAAACACAGAACATCCAGGAGAAATTGGCACTGGGAAGTACCCAGCCAGGAAAATACAAGGCTTTACTATTACAGATTTGGAACATACCAAAACTGCTTCTATGGAGCCACTTTCTTTCCTATATTCTACAATGAGAAATTAATTTGGGAGAGGTGTGACTGATTTATTTTACAACATTTGCAATGCTGCTATGGATCCACTGCTTGAGAATACTCTTCTCTCTATAAACCAGAGGCTGGGTTCGGAATCTTTGTTCACTACTTTGCGGTATATGCATCTCTGAACAATTCTGCTCTATTTTAGTGCGCTTTGGAGGAGAGGCATTTTTTGTTTGGTTTGGGGTTTGTTGTTTGGGGTTTTTTTTGATTGGTTGGTTTGGGTTGGTGTGGGGGTTTTTGGTGTTTTTTTTTGTATGCCTGTTTTCTTTTATTGTTAGAAATTTGTTCTTTGCTGTGTACAAGGCATCAGTACCCAAGGACTTCCTTGTATGACTACTCATAAATAAAGTTAGTTATGTTGGAATCAGGGAAGTGAAGACCAAAGACTTTTGTCAGACCTCCTCTGGAAAATATGTTCTTTAGTTGCAGCTCTCCATAAGCTGCAGTTGCTGAGAATAATGAGCTGCTTTCTTTAAGGGGCTTGATAGCAAAAAGTACCCTTCAGTAAAGAAATTACCAATTAAGGTCAGGCAGTCATGTTACTTTAAAAGAAATGTGTATTCTACTTGTCATATAATCACATCTTCTTCTTAGCCACCCTCTTAATAATTTAACATTCAACTCTCACCAGACTGTCTTGTTAGCTGTTCTGAACTTAGCACAGATTTCTCTCACTTTTTTGTTTTTCTAAAGGGTTGAGGTGATAGAAGATGACAGTGCTTAAGAAATAATCCCTGAAAGAATTCACCAACTTTAGCATTGCAACTTGGGAACTGAAGATAGTGGTGGAATTTAGTTGGTATCAGTATTTGTAACAAAATGTCGGTATATTATCTGCATCAGGATATTCTCTTATGCAAAGTGGAAATACTTTCTTTTCAAATAGGATGCTTATTCTTGTACAAATATATCCTTAGATATTTTTAATGCTCTGTATTTAAGAAATGTTCTTTGGGTATTGGCTGCCACAGAAGTGAAAGTATTTTTTCTTTCTTTATCTAGTTCTTCAAACGCTACTCCTGAATTGGAAGGCCGGGGAGGAGAAGAACTTGGCACAGATATAGCAAATACACTCTACAGAGTATTTAGCTGCGAGAACAGTGTAGACTTGAAATCCCTTTGTATTAATCCCAGAGAGCACTGCTGGGTTCTCTATGTTGATGTGTTGGTAAGTAAGGAAATGAAAACTAAGATTCAAGATTTTTTAAGGCGGAGACTGACTTAGCATAACCTTGTGTATTTTCCTATAAAAAAAGCTTCTCATAATGTGATATAATGTTTCACAAAGCGAATGGCCATTTTCTTGGGAATCTACCTGTAATAGTTAATCACTATTTCCAGCTTGCTCTTTTCCTACTCTTCTTGTTGCTGATGCTCCACTGCAGAGCTGATAAAACACTGAATACTCCAAATCTGTCTCAGATGAAAATCAGTGATCTTATACTAGCAAGGAGGTTTGCCACTAAAGAAGGCTAAACTTTTCTCCCAGGCTAGTTGCAACAGCAAATGTATTGTTCCATTGAATGTAAATTAGTATTATGTATGTTAGCCCTAAGGTAACTGTCCATCCTGTCTGCTTCTTTGCACCATTATCAGTACTAATTCGGTAACGTAAAATAGAAACTTTTCTGGCAAAAGCTACATTTGGCCTAGGCACTTTTTGATGCAAGTTGTATACATGTATTGAATGTAGAAGATAAACTGAATATTTGTTCCCATTAAAAAATGGAAACTGAATTTTATGCATACAAATCTCATGCATGTAGCAGCTTGATTTCCAAACTATGCCATTTTTAAACCACTCAGCCACAGGAATTTTAACAGAAGTCTGCAAGTCAGACTATCTTGAGCATTATTCCCAATTCTTATTGTTCCAATATTGGGTTTCTCTTTGTCAAATTTGGAAGTGAAAATATGTTGAGGAACCTTGCTCACAGGAATCCATTAGTATCTATTATAAATGATTTGCAAAACGTTAAGCTGTATGGCCAGGAAAATTAAATACAGGATTTTGTTAAACAGGAACATTTAGACTAAGACCTAAATAAATGTGAAAATTAGTTCATTAGGTGTTTAAAAAGCAGCACCATTAGCCTAATTATAGTAGATATGGTACATACTGCGACAGTCCGCGTACAAAGCGACTGAGTGTGTGCCACTGCTGAGGGCTTTAACAGCCCAAGTCACCAGCTTATTGGAGCTTGGCATAGTTTAATAGAGAATGAAGTGTTAGTTCTGAGAAATCACACTGGGGACTTTAGTTACTGGGTAATTACAAGCAGAGGTACAGAATATTAAATGCTGTGTTTATTTAAGCAATGTACTGCTTAACATTGCATAAACACAGCATAAACAAAGACTTGCATAAAGCTGACTAGTGCAGAAGTAGTTCTGTATAGCTTCTGCATGAGATATAATTGGTTATTGTTTGATTCTTCCTGGACAGATTTTTTGGTTGTCCACAACTACAGAGAAAAACAACCTTGGTATTTTCATGCTACTGGCTGTATCAGAATTATGAACATCAGGACCTGTGTTATGTGAGGAATTTCACATTTAGCTTTTTTACAATGCCAATAAACAATCTGTTGTAGGTTCATAATTACGACTGAACTTGATGAGTCTTTTCAATGTTATATTCTGCAGGGATTTTTTGTGTGAGCCATTGAAGAGCTGCTGGTACATTTAGAAGACACCGTTAACATTAGTCTCTTACTCTGTTGCCTGCCTCACCCCATTCTTTTTCCACCTCAGGTGTCTGTATTTTCACACTTTTGAGGTCATTGTAATATTTCCTTTTCTGAATGGAAGATGTGTATCACATGTGTTAGAGTATACTTAATGTTGATGCTTGATACCTACAGATTTTGCTGAAGCTGCTCCTGCTGAATCATTCCTGGGGAATCTTACTTTAATAGTACATGGTGGGAGTATAATACTTGGGCTAGTATAAGGTGCAAGTCATATTATTCAGTGTTTGAGGGAGACAGATTCTAACTATAATAACAATGCTCATAGAGAGTATTTTGGATGGTATTTTCCTTCAGAGTTCCTGGAAATTGTTTACGTTGGTGTTTGTGTTGTGCAAAGCTAGAGGGAAAATAAGCCTTAAATCTGTCGTAAGCCTGAAAATACTGGTACTTTGTGGTCAGATGGGAAGGTGCGTGTTTGGAAGTGTCTTGTTCTGAAAGACAAAACTCCCCCAAAAATTTTATGAACCTGGAAGTTTCACGCTATACAATTTAGCCATGTGCACTTTGATTGAAGCATCTATATCCAACTCTATGCATAAGCAAAATTTGACATATGCAACCTCAAAAGAGAAAATAGTGTGTTTTGCAAAGTTATGCAGCTTATCAATTACAAACATCTCTCAAATATTTTCTAGTGGTCAGTGTATTTGGGACTTGCTATAATTGTGTACAGTCAGACTGGAAAGAAAATAATTTCAATCATACACAGAAATATGGCCAAATTGAGATATGTGACAAAGGTCAAGAATATGTACCTTGACCTTTCAAAATAGATGCATTCTTTCTTAATAGTGTAAGGCATTCTACTTCCAAATAGTAGCCCGTGAATGTGGAGAACAGTATCACAAAACTGTAAGCTTGTTCTTACTCTCTCTCTGTTTCTCTTGATTTATTTCCCTTTCTAAGCCATTGATGTCAGAAATAAGATTTTGGCATTTTTGAGTGTGTTTTTGATATATGTATAGCCTTCTCCACATAATTTGGCCCAGCAGTCTGCCATGCTGAGCAAGGAGAATCAAAGTGTGCAATCTCTTATCATTCCCTACTCAGTAGATGGTGTGTTGGGGGGAAGGGGTGCAGTAGGTTCTGTTGAAATTTTAGCAATTCACTACTGAGCCCCTCTCAGGATTTCTTCATGTTTTCTATTCCCCCCAAGTTTGATAAAAAAAGAAGTTAGGAATCTGTCCTTTTGGAAGAAAAGCTTCTTTGAATAAGGCAAGGTCTACAATGTTTTATCTATTTTTGCCAATAACTTTTTTATTTGTACATCAGTTAATTAAAAGCAGTCCTTTCTAAAGAATCCTTTGCTTCCCATAACTCGAAGTTGTGCAGACTTTCTTATTTCTATAAATAAATAAATAAATAAATGGCAGGGGAGATCTCAGTACAAGGTGCTTCAGCTGAGAAGTGTTCAGTTCTGTGTGGAGGAATTCTGGCATCCTGCTTGTTACAGGTTGTGTATCTAGCCTGTAAGCACCACTGTAGTACAGATAAGGTTTTAGAATAGCAGCTTGAACACAAGCCTAGCAACAGTGCAGACATATCCCATTATTGTGTTTTAATAACGAAGATATTGTGGGGCTTATTGTGTTATCCAGTAAAATCTGATAATGACTGAAAGTGGCAGGTTAACCTCTCTGTATCCAGCAGCTGTTTGCGAAGAAATAATCTAATCACCTTTGTATTCAGCTTTCTATTCCAACTTTTTGTCATTCTTTTTACACTATTCAGTCTGTCTTCATAAAGAAACTGTCTTTACAGAATATCTGATTTATGGTTTGGTCCCAGTGCGGGAGTTTATCTCATTTTTAAATAGATTTTGAAGAACAATCAGTGCAATCAGTGTTGCAAAACTTGTTTTGCTCTCATCATACAGCAGAGATTGATGTCATGGAGAAGCATCCATATGTTCTTGCCGAAGTAGTTTCAAATGCTTACTCTGTGTGTGTGCCTTTGTGTGTGTGTGTTCTCAGAATAGTACTAGCAACTGAGAGCGGAGCTTGTCAGAGAACTAACAGTAAGCTGTGGAGTTGTCTGGCATCCTATAGAAGGTATTGTGGTTTTGGGAGCCCTGCCTTTTTGCCTAGTACGCAGTGCTGCTGTTCTCTTTGACTGTTGTTCTCCTGATCTTCATGGGAAGAAGCTAAGCTAGACTCCCTCGACACTCTTCACTTGTTTGATAACACTGACGTTTGAATTAGACTTTGACATCAGGATTTCCTTGGATCATTTTCAACTACAAGACAAACCTGATGATGGCTCTTTTCCTTAAGAAGAATAAATCACAGTGTGCCTTCATAACTATAACTTCTGTAACTACCTTTTCATACTGTGATCTCAGTGACAATTTGCATTGCTTCTTTAAAAGCAATTCTCCCAGTTGGTTTTGTCCAGTTGATATTTTAAAAAGACTCCTGTTGGAAATAAAGTATAAAAAATTGACTGGTTTGATTTAATATTAAAGAATGAATGTGATGGGTTTATAAAGAGAATTCTGGTCATAGTCTAGTTCAGAGCCTTAGCACAAGAAGATTAAGAACAGAGGTGGTTTCATTTCAGGTTCTATTATTAAATTTTATCATTAATTTTATTACGGAGTGTATTAACTCTTCTATTTTGCATGTATAATACAGTTAGCCGAAATCTGAATTTCCCATCTGTTTCTTTTCATGGATGGGCTTTAAAGACAACTTTGTTTTTTAAAAACCTGTTCTGGTTATTAATTTTCTTCCTTTTCAAGTAGGTTTAAATAAAATAAAGACTTCATTTAAAGGCACTAGTCCAATTTTCTTTTAAAGAGATTCTTCTTTTCCTCCTCAGTTATTGGAATGTGGTGGGAACATCTTTGATGCAATCTCTATCGCAGTGAAGGCAGCTCTCTTTAACACAAGGTAAAGCACAAATCTCATTTCATGTGAGTGAAAGTGGCATGGGAAATGGAAGAAAAGTACTCTCTGTGAGCAAAGCATTTTTAATGCTTGGTTATTTAAATAAATACCCAAAGCAGCTTGCATTCAGATACAAGGCAGTCCATTTTCATGCAAGTCATATGAACTAGTGTTTAGTTCAGTTTCTAATAATCAAGTGTCATATTGCATTGTGATTGTATGCACAGTCAGGTTCACAATATAACTTCTGTTCTGTAGCCCGATCCAGAAAAAAGTGTCTTGACCATGAGATTTTGTTGCAGGTAGTTGGAGGACTTTGTGTTGATGCCTTGTGGGTTTGAAGAGTTGCTTACTGATACGTGATGCTCTTGATTAAGAAGCCTTGATTTTCCTCTTCTGATTTCGTTTTCATTAATTTTTAGTCTAGAGTTCTTTTTAAAACTAAAAAGAAAATAATGGTAGTGAGAAATTGTGGGGAGGGGGAAACGATGTGTCTTTAAAGGAACTTTGACCCATGCATTTTAATTCAAAGAATGGAAAACCAAAATCTAATAGAATGAATGATGGAAATCCTCTGTGTGGTTTTAAATGGTAAGTTTCGCTCGTATTTTTTCTATTGTTTTTATCTTCTTTATCTGTAGGTGGAAGGGAGTACAGTTTTGTAGCACCCTTGAGAAAAAAAGCTAGTGCATGGCTTTGCCAAAAAACTTAGGTGGCAACAATAGCGGGAAGAGGTGCAAAAGTTAGACTCTTACAAGCATAAATGTTTTAAAAGTGGATCTCAAATTGTTCTTCAGCATTAAATTAGAGATCTCCTGAAGCCACTAGTGTAGTTCTGGCTTATTTATCAGGGAATCCATGCACTAGATCTGGAAAAGTATGTGCAAAAAGAAGAGGAAATATGCTTTTGAAGACAGGCAGTATATCAGGTTATAAACACTTTAAAAGGGGATGAGGGAAGAATCCATTTGAGACTAGAACTTGTATATATTGCTGAGAAATTTCCCATGTTAATCAAATTCTCAGCAGTAACTTTTAACAGTAGATTGTTTTCATAACATTAAGAAATACTGTCACAAATATAATGGCTCACAATGGAGCTGGCAGTACTCTAAAGGGAAGAAGTGCTGTGTTTCTGCCTGGATGCAAAAGCTGTATAGTTAAAACAGTTACTACCATGTAAGTTGTTTTGCAGATCCACGGCACATACTTTATTTATAAGATAACTGGGTCTTTTTTCTTATTTTAACCGGAATAAAGAGAGACGATCATATAAAAAGTAATGAATTAAATAAGCAAGTAGAAGAAAATGTTGCTTTGGGAACATGGGCAATGTGGAGGGTGTAATTATTCTAATGATTCTGCTTTATTTTGATTTTTCTGACAACTTGTGTCCTTTATATAATCTGTAATCTATGGAAAACATCCAGAGTCTTGTTAAAGTTGGGTATCGTATCAAAATGTGGTACAGTATGACATAATGGAGAGCCTGTTGATTTTTTACCTGTGAAAACCTTGTCTTACTGAGTTGAACCATACATCTAATCTCATAAAAGATCAGAAAGTCAAGAGGTGAAATTCAAAGTGAAAACCTGTTGTCCTCCTTCACTATTCCTCTCACTTTCTCTTGGTAGCTACTAAGTTTTCTTTGGATTGACACAAGGCTGTTTAAGAGTAGCTTTCCATTCTCCATAAAATCTTATTGTCCAAACAAGACAAGATGTCAGTTTGCAAATTGCTTGAGATTAAGTGTTCTGAACTTTGCTTGACATGTGTCCCTCTTTGTCTTACTTGCTTTTCATACTTTGTTTACAACCAGGTTTTTGTTAGAAGTGTTTCCAGATCTTTGCCAGCCTTGACTGCAGCTTTGAAGCAAAGAGCAGAGAGCTCAAGCTGCTGTTTTTCTTGGAAGCTACAAAATTTTAGATATTCAGATAGGCATTTGAAAACTTCAGCTTCATCTTTAAAATCTTGCTCTAAGCATTTCTATAATAGCTATGGACACATTTTTCTTTAGAGCTAAGTAAATCCAAAATCATGATTTAAGGAATTTTACACAAGACCGGCAGGATTTAAATCCTTTGAATGCCTGACATGACTCATTATATCCCCTTCAGGCATGGAACAATGACAATATGACTGTTTTAGGGGGAACATTTACTCCTTGCAAGTTTGTATTGTTCATCATGTTCTAAAAACTATATCAAGATCATGTGCAAAAGATAGCAGGCATCAAACTTACTTCTTACCCCTGTCTCCAAGGTGTTTAAGGATGGATTTATTCATGATAGAAGTAGATATTGCAAAATATGCAATATTAGCTACTGTGTCAGGGCATTAAACTTGGTTCTGTGAAATGCGTCTACTTGCCACAGAGGCTGCAGAAACTAGGCAAGTTGCAAAAACTACAGAGTTTATAACACAACAACTTTGCCGATATCAAGGTTTTTTGCTGAACAGCATGGTAGAGGCAGAACTGATGCCTGCTTGCAAGGGTGGAACTGGTTTTGCAGTTATGAAATCTGGGTCTGCAGCACATAGGAAAAAGCTTTGTTTGTTACTTGACTGACTCTTGCTGTACAGATTTCTGCCCTGATTAGTTACAGGAATCAAAATAGAAAAATAAAAGTTGCAAAGTAAACATGTACGTCTAATTCTTAAGACAAATATTCACAAGATGGGAGAGTAAATCTCCAATGTTCTGGAAATACTTTGTGCTACATTCACTTTTCCTAGTTTTTGTGTCCATATACCCCCTTTTTTATGCAACTATGATTCTTACGTCTGATCTTTTTGCCTTTGCAATAGTTCTAATTTAGACCTCTTTCATCCGTGCTTGGTCAAAAAAGCTCCTTGCAGGCATTTTTCAGGTATTAATTCTGGCAACTTTTTCTTGCAGACCGAACACTGCTCTGGTTTCATGGCTGTTTTAGAATGGAATTAAAAATTGCTTAATCTCACAGATTTTCTTGAAATCTTTCTTTGTTTTTTAACACTGCTTTGGCACATAAACTTCTTGACTAGGCTGTTTTCCAGTGTTGTCCATTGTCCTGTGTAGCTTGTGGATCAGTCACCTTGTGACTTTATTCCATCAATTTTTAATGGAATACTTTAAACTTGAAAATAGGCTTTGAGGCATTTCTGATGAGTTGGAAAGCATTTGGAGTTTTGTTTCAGGAAAAAGTACACTTCAGAATTGTTCTGCTTACTCAAAGTCTTAGTTTTGGCTTGACCCAGGCCATTGTGTTTGTAGGGAATTTGTTGTCACTGGAGCAGGGTTAGCTGCTGTGAAGTACTTGCCACTAGGACTTTTAGCCACAAATAACTAACATACTCTTCCAGGGAACAATAAAAAGTCACTTTGTATTGGTGGGGGAAATGTTCATTAAATCAGTCCCTATCTCCTCCTCCTTCAAAAAGAGATTTCTTACAGACAGCATAAAAGAATGTAACCTCCAGAGTCTAGTTATAAACACAGTGCTACTGTAAAAGTACTAATATAAAACCAGATTGTGGTTACTGAAGTTAGCTGTCAGGGGACATCTTGAAATATTTTGTTTTCAAGTGCAAATGTGTGGAAAAGAAAAAAAAGGTAATATGGGAGCTGTGTGGGGGTTTTACTGGCCAGTAATGCAAAGTCTCTCAGTCAGTACTCCATCCTAATGGACACCTGGATAAATGAGGGTATATAAGATGCTGATGTTCTTGGCAGCTTGAGGTACCATCTTCTACTAAATTGTTTTAAATTATTTTATTCATTATGCTAAGAAAAGTGCGTTAAGTCATCCCATGAAACTCCCATTAAATGTCTGTCACAAATACAATATATTTACCACTGATAAGGAGCCTGTCTTAGTTCATTTGTGAGAGAGCTCGTCATTCACTATGAGAAGAAAGCGCTTTTTGGATTTCTGCCTGGGTTTTTATTCCTGCTCTGTCCTTACATTTTATATATCCCTTGTATATCTGTCCTTAGAACAGTAGAGTCTTCTGTCTTCTTAAAGAATGAGAATATCCTGCCAATCTTCCCATCTTGCTAAAGAGAAAGGATTTCACTGATGTTGTCTTTCTCTTTACCCCAAGTCTCCCTTAATTAGTGTTGCTCTTTCCTTAAGGGCTTTACTACTTGTATTTGCTACTGATGTCACAGCTTTGCCAAGCAATGTAATTACTCTAATTGTGCCAACTTTACTGTTGAGAGCCACGGTACGAAAGGATTCAGTCTTGGTAATTTCTCTCCTATACATCCAGCAGAAGTACAAAGAATTGTTCAGAACTGATTTGTGCAAATTCCAAAATAATCTCTCCCCATATAACAGTGTACAAACCAACTCAAATTCTAATGGTTTGAATGATGTAAATATGATGATCTTATCCTAAATGTCTTTGAACTTACAATGTTTTCTTCCTAGTCTTGGGGAGTGAGTTGTTAATACTTTGATCACATTCTGGACTTTTTTTCTAAACATTTTGCCTCATTTAGAAGAAAAAGCACTTCGTGGAGTTGTGACTGTATAGCAGCTTTATCTGTTATGTGTTCTGGCAATGATTTTGCACATTTTGTTTCCACAGAATACCCAAAGTGCGTGTTCTGGAGGATGAAGAAGGCACCAAAGAGATAGAGCTGTCTGATGACCCTTATGATTGTATTCGACTTAATGTAGAGGAAGTGCCCTGTATTGTCACGCTAAGCAAAGTAAGCATGACAAATTTCTGACCCTCTACCTAGAAACTTCAATTTCTGTTAGTTTCACCTGCCATTTATTATTTTCCTAGAGATAAAAATTGTGTTACAGAAATGGTCAGTGTCCGCTATGTAGATATTTGTTTGTCTTAGGCCTCCTAATTAAGAAGTTTTACTGAATAAGGGGTTTTTTTGCACCTCTGACTTGTAGGTTTCTACTTGATGTGCTCTTAAAATGCATCTTCTTGCATTCAGAGGAATTGTTTACTGTTTTTTATCTACTCCTTTCTTAACATCCATAGCAGCAGATACTTCAGTGTGTTAGAACAAGTAGCCATTGTTGTGAGGTGCGAAAGTTGTGTCATCTGCCTGGAATTACATGATGAGTATTTGTTGCTGGGGACAGAACTCCCATTTTCATGGGTGTAATACTGTGCCTTCCCTTTCAAACAGGTTTTCCATATATAGCACACTGCCAAGACAGTTGATTTTATGGATGCTGCAAGTTGCATTGCAAGTGTTAGTGATTTGCTTAGTTACCTGAAAGTTTATGTGGCATTTCTTTTAAGCAAGTTGCATAAATAGCAGAGGCCATTGCTGAAGTGAGGGCTCACCTGAGTCTCGGGATGTGTAATTTTCACCTAGAGGGTAGCAAAGTCCATGCTTGGAGTTGAGGGGGGAAAGAGGAATAGGGAGTTTCATATAGATGAAAGGATGGTAGAAAGGAAAACAGTATGAAATAGTGACATGTTTATCTGACCTCTCTTGTGTAATGTACACAATTTGGGGTCAGAGGCTGTTTAAATACTGTGCTATCAAGTCAGTCTCAGACCACTTAAAAAGGCCACATGATATTAGGATGGGAGACTGAGGTAACTAACAAAGCTGCCACTCACAGGTTAACTTCTTAATGGAAGCCCTTAGAAAACTGTGAACTAATACATCATTTTGTCACTAACTTACAGATTGGATATAGGCATGTGGTGGATGCTACCCTTCAGGAAGAAGCCTGTTCTTTGGCAAGCCTGCTTATTTCTGTGACCAGTAAAGGTGCCCTCACTTCTATGAAGAAAGTGGGGAAAGGTAGCCTGGATCCTGAGAGTATTTTTGAAATGATGGAGGTAAGGAGTTTTGAGCAGTTGACTGTCTTCGATGATACTGGATGAATTGGAACTTGGGTATATGGAAAGGTGCAGTAAGGACTTTTATAGCAGAGATCTTGGAGCTTTGATTAGGTGCACAAGAGACTTTGTAAAGATCACAGTTTCTTTGAAACAAATTCTAATGTGAATGGATTTTATCTAAAACTTCTAGATGCCTGAAATGCATGATACTCACATATGTTTCAGGCAAGTACTTCACAGCTGTAAGGCAGTAAAGCCTTAAGGCTGATAAACTTTGAGAGTATTTTTAAAGAACATGTTCCCTCTTTTATAGTTTCTCTTAAAAACTGAAATAGCAAAACTCCTAACATGGTAAAATCCCTATAAACGTAGAGAAGGTCTTTTTGAATTGCTAGTGCACGGTGTTCTTTTCTAGCACAACTCATTTGTTTTATTATAAGCTTACTCTTCTCTTTTTACTGTTGTTTTTCTTTGGTTCTTTATTGGGTTTCTGATCTACCCTTATTTCATAAAAATACTAGTATCTGGATATTGTCCACATCCATGTAAGAATTCCATTTTTAACCTTTCTTCAGGCTCTTCTTAAATGTTCTGCAGTGTAAATTCTCCTGCCTGAGTTTGGCCTTGAGCGTGAGACAGAAATGGGTTTTGAGCTTGGAAGTCAGAATGAAAATTAGATATTTCAAGCTGACTCTGTTTCCAAGGGATACAGGACTAATTTCAGCCCGGCTGTAGTGAGGAATGCGGAAGTTGGAGCCAAGTTTGACAACAGTTGGTCTCAAGTGGGAATTACATGCTTGAGTATATATGGCACTTGGCTGTGTCATGATGTCAATACAGAGTGCTAATTTTGGTGGTACCAATGGGTTTTCATTTGTGTTCAGAGATGTCACTTTCTCCCTTATCTGGATAGAGAGGTGTTATCTCTAACCTGGCATCCTAAAGAAACCTAACTTCCTGTGGGCATCTGATGTGTCTTCCTTGATGGATTTTGTGTCTGATGCTAACTAAATGTCATAGAAAACTTCAGGTTTTGGGTCTAGGGCTACTAGAGAGGTTGGTGCTTAAGTCAGATACAGGTTCATGAAGAAGCTGGCCTTAGTGCAAATTCCCTGCACCAGGCTTTGATGGAGCCTCTGTTTTGATCACCAATTTCACTCTACGTTGAGTCCTAAATAGGAAATTAACTTCTACAGTTCTGTTGTATACCCTACCCACAAAGGCTGTGCCTGGAGTTCTGTAATGCACTTCTGAACACTGGTCAGAGATGCATATGGAAGGTAACTGTGGAAAATCTTCAAACCATCCTATTCTGCGAAGAACATTAGTGAACTTGTCCCTACTTGTTGATGCAGGAGGTTACAAGCTTAAGCTGGTCACTTGTGCCATTTTTCACTTGCTTTGGAAGAAGTCTTCCCTCCTGAATGTTGAAGAGTTTGAAAGAGTGAGAGATAAAGCTGATCAAAAAAACCCCAATATGTTTTCTGGAAAGTCAGAGTTTATCTGTTTGGCCCTGCCCTAAACTCAACAGCCTCATTAGGATACCAAGAAAAACAAAAAGACCTACCAATGAGAGTAGCACTAGGTGGAAGTCTTCCTTCAAATTACCTAACTATTCTTCGAATAAAATGTGGTTAGATTTTACTATCCACTGGAAAAGATGCATAACCCATGTTTGATACCTCCATTCCATAATGATTTGGCTGCAGGTCAGAGTGTCAGCTTTCCCTGCCTTGTAGAAAACAGACACATTCTAGGGCATATCTCTTAGTAAGGGAGTTTCATGGGAAAGTTTTGGGAAGCTGCCAGCATTAGGCTTTTCTTTCCTAAGTTTATGATCTGATCCATTAGAGAGGCGAGCAGGATTAAGAAAGCAACAGTCTTGCATCAGTACCGAAGTTCTGCACAGTTCCCATTCACTTTGACCTGGTGTGAGTGACATTGTCCTATGTTTGAGGAGTAGAATGCAGAAAGTGTATCACTCCTTGGGACTCCAGGCTGCTGCAGTGATCTTTGTCCCAGTGCAGAGCTGTTGGGACAGTTCTTGTCTGTGCCCCCCTTTATTTAGCATGACTCATAGTATCTACGATTGACAGCTACCCTGCTGCATCAAAGCTCTTCCCAAATTTCCTTTGGTACCATGGGCCATTTTCTCTCACCTGGATCTTCAGTTAGAAATGTACCTCATTTTAAGGTTTGTGTTCCCATGGTTCCAGTAATTGTCACCAACAGGTGAAAGGGAGCTTTGTGTCAGCTGTATGGCAGGCCTAGGCTTCAGTGCATAGATCAGGAGCAAATAAACTCAGTTTAATATAATCTGCCTTTGGCTCTTTACGGATCGGTGGGGTCTCTTCATCTCCATATGGAGTCTGTATTTCAGATCATTTAGAGAAACCCTGGGAAAGCTTTAATGGGCACCATTGCCTTAAGACCTTTATTTCAACATTGCCCAATGTTTCCTTGCCCTGTAGCTTCCCCAGTACAGTTGTGTGTAGGGGAAGAGTAGAGGCTGGTGTCAGAGCTAATCCTAGTGGGTTTCCACTGCTGGAGTTTCCTTTTGTAAAGAAGACGTTGTGTTAACCGCTTTAAGGTCCTTGGACAGTACAGAATTGCACATTACATGAAAGATCTGCCCACGGACTGATTTGGTGATGCAGCCAGTGTGCATTTTGGGCTTCTCAGGCCATAGGACATGGTGTTGAGCTAGTCTAAATTCACTCTGCTGATTCTGAGCACCTTCAGAAGAGCTCACTGAATTTTCTGTTAGTAGGCTGCTTTGCTGGTCAGGTGTCTCTTGTCCTCTGGCAGCTAGAATATTGCTTCATGCTGTGTGTGCTGGCTAATTTGAGTGTGTGCTTGTGCCTGATGTGAATTTAATTTGTATTCCTCGATGATCCAGCAGTGCACAGATCTGGTATTAATGATCATGGAATGCTTCTCTGAGGAATGAGAGCATTGCATTTATGTGTACATTTTTCCAAAACTTAATCAAATTAAAATGAAACTTCCACCACCATTATTTTTCTTAATTAAAAGCGTATTTTGGTGATACCAGCTGGTGTATATGAGTCATCAAAGGGAAAATATTTGTCAAAAGGAAGTGTTCCGTAAGAGTTGTCTCCTGTTAATAAGCATATGTCTCAGATTTGTTTTGCTTTCTTTGCATTGCAGACAGGACAAAGAGTAGGCAAGTCACTGCACATAGCCCTTCAGAAGATTTTGGATGAAGAAGAGAGTTTGGGGACGTCACGGCCAAAAGTTGGATTTCTAGGATGAGATTTTATTAAATGTTCAAAACTGTTTTTAATTAATTGTGCAATCTTGTGTGTTTGTGTATAAAGAAAAGGTTATTTTTTTTTTCCAGTACAGTTCTCATTCTGGCTAAGAGGCTTTTAAAATGTTCCTAAGCATAAAGAAAGCTACAGTTAAGTGCATATAAGAAAATTAGAGATGCTTTCCATACGGGTCACTTTTCGCACCTGGGAAGTGCACCAGCAGCAATTGGTGCCATTGCCTGGGAACTGCTTGAGTCTATTTTCAAGAGTGACTGGTGTAGGTTCCACTTAATTCTGTTAGCACACCTTCCACTTCTGTAGACCAGATGCTGTGTTCTAGAGTGTACTTGAGGCTGTGCAGCACCAATGAGAGTAGCACTAGGTGGAAGTCTTCCTTCAAATTACCTAACTATTCTTCGAATAAAATGTGGTTAGATTTTACTATAAATAAAACGTGTTTCCACATTTCCAATTTGTATTTTAAACCAAGATTTCTTTGCTCACTAGAGCTCTACCTATCCCTTTTGCCAACAGGTGCAATAGCAGCCTAGCCACAGCTTTTCACAGTGGCTAAGGAGAAGGGGCATGGCTAAGGTAGAAGCGAAAATGAGTTAATTTTTAAGAGTTAGACAATTCAGCTGGAAAAGCATAGTGTCTGTCAGTAATGATCCTTCATAGGGAAAGACAGAAGATGGCAGGTAAGGCATGCTAACAAGTTGTATCACCAGGTGTTGAAAGCAGTGGATTTCCTCCCTACATCAATTGGTTGCCCCAGCAAAGAGTAAGAGCTGTTTATTTGGCAGGATAGGAAGAGACAACAGACAGAAGAAATCAAAGAAAGAAGTTGATTTTAAGAAGTTGATATTTCAGCTGCATGTATTAGAAGGATCATTTTGAACAAACATTATGACAGAAGTTACTACAATAATCCAGGAGCAACGTTTTCTGAATTTCCTGTTTTAATTTTATTATATCAGTTTAAGAATGTTCTCTTCACTGTAACATGTTTGGTGGGGAAAAGGGGAAGGCTTTTGCTGAAAGAAAGCTGTAGATACCGGACAGAACATATTACTAATAGTCATGATCAGGTTAAAATATATGGAGTGCTTAAGGTCCCCAAATCTCTTCAGCCCTTTTCCTAGAGCTCACTCACATAATCGCTCAAGGTAACTGCAGTACTACTGTGTATTGTACAGATATGTGTAGCCACTACTATAACAAGCAGACAGGTTAAAAAAAAAGAAACTGTCCCACAAAATTTGCCCAAGATTGTGTTTCGAAGAGTTGAAGAGTGTATATTTTTTCAGTACCTTAAGTAGTAGGTTAGGTAGGTTATGATGGTGCTACATAGTAATAGAGCCAAGAAGTGACAATCAGTATACATAGTCTTTAATCACTTCAGTAGAGTTATTCTGTGTGAGGCAAACACTAACCTGAGATCAGCTTTACAGTAGCTGTGATCATTCCTTGCCATGCAAAGCTACTTGTAAAAATATGAAAGAAAACTGAAGGGAGAAAAAACATTTAAAGTACCTGAGACTTATCACAGGCAGTTTTTGTTTGATCATGTGTTGTTTAATGTTTCAGAAAATGGCTAATCTAAATGAGACTGCAAGTCCTGAACCTCAGCCATTCTCTGAACAGCTGTTGCCTGTTTTATTACAGATTTGTGGTTGGATACCAAAAGGCTGCCCTGAGTGATGCTCAAGATGAATTTTGTAACATGGTATTAATAGTGTATTTCTCCATAGCCTTCCAGCTGAAGGATCTCCAAGCATTTTGCAAGTTACATCATTTAAGATGCTTCTCGTCCCCTCTCGACATCCTTTTAATTTTAAATTTAATTTTCTGAGAGCTGGAGGTGGTGGTGGGAGAAACATTACTGTGTTTCACGCGTGTTAACTGACCCCTCTGTGGAGGTGAATATATGTGCATTCCCTCCCAACTTCTTACTAAGGATAGCAAATATTTAGCCGTCTGAGATTCAGGATACCTGTGTGCTCAAGATACCTAGAAAGAAAATTCTTGGTACCTCAGCATCTGTGTTTGATACCAGCCCAAGGGAACCTGTGGAACATCTGTGTATACAAAAATGGCTACCTTGGTCACAAAATATTTGGTGCCAAGCACTTCCTCAGAGCAACACTGTAAATAAACATGGTGAAAGCATCTGCAGCACCTCCGCTAAGCGTGCATGTCCTCCCCCAGGTTTTCTGTAGCTGGGTAGGCAGGCACAGAATGCGTTGGGGCTCTCAAGGGGTCCTATTCCTTCTGTACTCACTGCTTCCCATCAATTGGCATGGAAAAGCAGTGGGATGGAGTGTGACCCCAGTTCAGACTGGGTCTGCTTCAAACTCTGAGATATAAATAATGAGCGAACCCAGCCAAAAGCATTATACAGCTGCTAGTTGGTCTCAGCTGCCCCTGGAGGTTTGCTGCTACCAGCTCATGTCCCAAATGGATAAACAAAGCTCTGACAGGGGTAAAAGGTCCTACAGCTCTTCCAGTTGATACAATATCTGCCAAGAAATCTTTGAGACTGTGGTTCTCAGGCATGCTAAGGGCTATGCTGCCCATTTCTATTTTCTTAGTTCCCTTTAACCCCTCCCTTCTATTGCAGATTTTTAATAGAGACTTCAGCTGAAAATGCTCCTGTTCCCGTCTGGGCTGATGGAAAGTTCCATGTGTTGCTGTGCAGATACTGCCACGTTTTCATTGACTCAAGTCCAGTAGAGCTAAGAGGAAACATCTGTGGAGAGGGATAGCTCTCTGTTTGTCCCAGAAATTAATTGCTTCTGCTGGGAGTGTCGAGAGGCTGAAAGCTGTGTACTAGAGGTGAGGAGTCTATCAGCTCCTGCTAGGCTTTTACTCATGTTGCCTAAAAAGCACACACTTCAAATTTACAGGCTTCACAGGGACAGTCTCCTTGGAGCAGGAGAGGGCTAGCCTCTAGGCCAGTGGACCTGGCAGATTTACCAAGTCCAGGAATCCTGTCAGCAAGTTTTGCAACTACAGTTCAAAATTGCAGTTGTGTGGTTTGGGGAGGAGAGGAGAGCTTGTTCTGCCCTGTGGGCAGAGGTGGAGGCAATGGGGAGGAGTGAGGCTATGCCACGTGCAGGCAGGCTTTATATGAAAGCTTGCTTCATCACAGCCTGTTGTAAAGACAAGTTGGTGTGAACCAGAGCTTGCTCACGGTTTCTGTGAGACCGAAGTGTGCAGATCTCTCTTTGAGGGATTCGGCACCCTGATTTGACATAAATAATAGGGTGTTTCTGCATTTTCTTTCTAAATAGGAATTAACTGAGATTTACTCACTTCTGCTAGGACTGCCTCCAGCTTTTCTTTTGAAGTTCAGCAGGTGCCACTGCCCTCCTCAACAGTGCGATGTTCTCCGGCCCTGCTGTGGCCCTGGTTTACTTTGCCTGTGGTCAGCAGCCACTGAGACCAAGAGAGTAGAAGAAGCAAAGCTGTGACTGATGAGACCTGAGTGCTCCAGTCCTTACCCCAGAGCCTCCTTTCCTTTAGCACACTTGAGCAAAATGCAAGAGCAGGTCTGCAAATGGTACTGAATCTCTTCAACCATCAGCCTCTGTGTTATTCCTCCCTGCTCCCCAATCCCTTGTCTCCTAGTGCACTCCTGTGTGATTGCACTCCCTGCCCATGTGAGGCAGCTTTTCCTTCTAAGGCAAAATGTGGCTGCTGTTGTTAGCTGTGCCTCACAGAGGCTTCTTTTCCTTTGGTGAGGTCCCAGACTCCCAGTGATGCTGATCGGCTGCAGCGGGGCACTTTGGTACGTCTCCCCACAGAGAAACTGCAGTGCCTTGGTTTTTCCTTGGATAAGCTGCATTTCCAGCTGTCCAGTGACAAAGACGTTTTTGCTGTTCTTGCAAAACAACATTAGAATCTCAAACATGCTGTTAATGATTCCCTGGTGATGGTTTCAACCTCAATTTCATCGGCTGGAACACTTTTTAATAAAGCTGTGGTTATCTTATGAGCTCTGTGAACATCTGTGTTGCTATCTTGTTCTCAAGATTTGGGTAAGATCAGCAGCACAGGCATGCCTGAGTTTTCAAGTCACACCACTTGTTGATGAAATGATCTCCCTCATTTAGACTGATATCATCATAGTTGCTGCAGCCCTGTTGCTTGTACCTTCAGAGGGGTAAGAGGAAATGAAATCTCAGCCCCTTTCTGATGTGCAGAGACCCTTCTCCACTCAGCCAGCAGGGCAGGGACTGCAGCCAAGCCGGTTGTGCTCAGATGTTGGAGGTACTTGGAGCCACCAGCCTGCAGGCCCCCTCTTCCAGAGGAGCTCTCCCACTACATGTTCTCTCTTTGTTTTGGCAAATGGTAAGTTTTGGTATTTCCGCAGTTGGAAACATATGGATTGAAAAGTCATGATTTAAGTCCTACCTTTCTTCTTTCCCTCCAGAGAGAGACCAACGTTAACCTGATGAGGCTTTTTAAGGGCATGGATTGGTTTCTTCCTGCTGTCTGATCATGCAAACTTTTCTCTAACTTAAAAAAATAAAGCTATTAATGAGGCTGAAGTTGAAATTCTCTTACAACCCCTAATTCAGCACCAACAGCGATATGAAAGCACACCAATTGCTCAAAGGTGGGAACAGTGTGCGGTAAAAGCATAAGCTGACAGAACCACCGTCTGCTTGCCAGTCCTAAAATAATGACTTCCATGGTGACTTCACTTGAACTGATGCTGTGACAGGCAGTTTCGTGCAGCCTGCTCAGCGAACCTACACAATTAGGAATTCCTCCAGAGTTTTTGTGTTAAATTTAGATGCTTGACTGCAGTTTTCCTTTAGCTGTTTGAACTTTGGGATATGGATGATGGACGAAAAACAAAGCAGTAAAGACAGCTGGATTTACCCCTAGCCCCAGGAGCTGCCTGCTCCAAACAGAAAGAAGCATGAGTCCTTTGGTGCAGTTCCTTTGGAAACAGGAGAATTTTGAGCAGCTGATACTACTTGAGTTCAAGTTCTCCTCATTTGGGTTCAGTTTAGGGCCTGAGGATC